GGCCGGTGCCCCAACCCCCCAATCGGCCCTACCCTGAGCGTGACTGAGGGTGGCATCGCAACCTCCCAATCTGCCCTGCTCTGTGCATGACCAGGGGCTGCACCTAGGGATTGGGCGTGCCCTCTGCCACCCCCTCGTTATCTCCCGAGGGGTCCCAGACTGCGAGAGGGCACAGGCCGGGCTGGGGGCCCCCCCCCCCCCCCCGAGTGCACAAATTTTTGTGCCCCGGGCCTCTAGTCTATACTAATAAAAGCCTGGGTGGTCCTCGCGCCCTTGCGCGTGATGTCGTTACAAGATGGCTGCCACAAGCGGAGGTGGGGCCCAGTGGCTGCCCTGCGTGGTGAGGTCTGGGGGTCCCGCGGCTCCGCATGGCACAGAGGAGGCCGGTCCCTGCATCTCCGCCGCCTCGCACAGAGGAGGCGGGTGCTGGCTTCGGAGGAGGTGGGTAGCGGCAGGGGAGGGCAGTTGGGGGCGATCAGGCCGTCAGGGGAGGGCAGTTGGGGGTGATCGGGCTGGCAGGGGAGCAGTTAGGTGTCAATCAGGCCGGCAGGGGAGCGGTGGTTAGGGAGCGATCAGGCAGGCAGGCAGGCAGGCAGGCGAGCGGTTATGAGCCAGTGGTCCCGGATTGTGAGAGGGAGTCCCAGATTGGAGAGGCTGCAGGCCGGGCTGAGGGACACCCCCACAGGCTTCTAGTAAGATTATAATGGGGCCGAAAATTTTCTATCATCTAGTGATGTTGTAGCCATGGTAACATCATAGTACAATGCATCACCCATGTGTTTGTGTTGATGCTGATGTAAACAAATTTGTACTGCAGGTCTTATAAAAGTATAGCACATACAATCATGTACATTGCATAGTACTTGATAATGATAGTAAACAACTATGTTACTGGTTTATATATTTTCTTTACTATTATTTTAGAATGCATGCTTTCTACTTATAAAAAAGAAAACATGCCACATTATGCCTCATACATACACCTGTGCAGCAGCCTCATACATCTTTTGTTTACTGCTTCTCTTTATTGTATCATTTTCTCTTGTGCTTGATTTAATCATATGCTGTTTTGTTCTTCATGGTTTCTGAGCTTTTTTTTTTTTAAATCATACAAGTCCTTTGATTGATCCCCTACCTTCCCTCTGAGGTTTGATGGTCTGATCGATGCTTCTCTGTCTCTGGATTTGTTTTTGTTCATCAGTTTAATGTTGCTCATTCTGAGCTTTTTAAAAAATATATATTTTTATTGATTCCAGAGAGGAAGGGAGAGGGAGAGAGAGATAGAAGCATCAGTGATGAGAGAGAATCATTGATCGGCTGCCTCCTGCATGCCCCACACTGGGGATCGAGCCCACTTCCTGGGCTTGTGCCCTTGGCTGGAATCAAACCTGGACCCTTCAGTCTGCAGGCCAATGCTCTAACCACTGAGCAAAATCAGCTAGGGCCTGAGATTTTTGCACAAAGATGAATTCGCGTAACAATGCATTGCTCAGAATGTATCCCTGTCATTAAGTTTTTCTTTTTGGTTAAGATCTCTCTGGTTGAACTCTACAGATGTATTTGAATTTGAGCGGGGAGGATGGGTAGTTCTTTTGTATAAGTTCAGTGCTGAATTGAAACTGTACACTTAGTTCTCTGTTTGGTGCCTTATATATTTTACTTTTTAAAGCAGCGATTTTCCACCTGTGCGTCACAAAAGTTTTTAAAACATGTAATACCTGACTATTTAGTTGGGGGTACTGACCTCTTTTCCCTTAGATTGTCAAATGAAAAAAATTGCAACAGTCAACACAACAGTAGCTATCTGGTGTGAATGCTCTACCTTGAGCTATAAATATATAGGTCATATAATAGAGTTGCTTTTATTGGTCATGTTGCATACTAAGGTTGTGTCTGATTGGTTAATTCTTGGTACCAGAAATCCTTATATACAAGTATAGACACCTGATTTTTTAAAAAGTTACTTTGGAGGAAAAAGAGTAGATAATTATTTTTTGTAAATCAAAATTATACCTTTTTTTTTGTCAGATCAGCAAGACATGTATATTTTTGGTATGTTGCAGAATTTTAGTAGTTTATGTGTACCATGAGATGAAAAGGGTTGAAAATCGCTGTTCTAAAATTTACTTTTGTATGGTTCTTATTTTTCTTATTTTTGAAGTAATTTTGTAAGAATTTATGCAACTATTTGAATGATTTTTCTCATTAAATATCTCAATTTATAATATAAGTTGGGGGAACCTAATGAAATTATATTTTGTGTTAATATATAGTGTTAAACTTTATAATTTAATAACTACTTTTGAATGAAAATACACCTTTTCTTTCTTCTTAGGCTTGAAAAGGAATACACTACAATAAAAACTAAAGAAATGGAAGAGCAAGTTGAAATTAAAGTAAGCATCTCAGGACTTTTAAAAGTACAGCACATACATTGATGGAAGTCAGTTATTTGGCAAGAGATGTTAGGTTATGTTAATATATTTGTTAATTACTTATAGCACATTTAGCAATGATGTTTGTATTTATTTATTGATAAATTTATTTTCTGTCCCACTAATTGTAGTTAAAAATAGATGTTTCAAAAAGCAGAATAATGTGACCAGGGTGGTTTTCATTCTAGTGTAAAAGAGAGCAACTCTTCCCTTTTACTAGATATGTTGGTGGGTCATCAGGAGAAAATACTTCTATGGGTAAGATAATTATTCCATTTAAGGATATTTTAAAGTTGCAGAGAAGATAATCCACAGTATGCTGACACTAACAGCACTATAGCCTAAGGTAGACTAAATAGAGCAAATCATTGCACTAGAACTAATTATGGCTGCTTTAGAAATGTAGGAAGCTTTGGCTAATTCAATTTTTTCATCACTAAGGAAATGTTACACTTTTGAACTACTCTCCAGAGAAACAGGTAGATTTTCAATTTAAAGAACATATAAATTTCTATATGTACCTTAAAATTCTTATTTGTACCCCCTGTAAGGCCAGACATTTTTAGGTTGAGGATCTTTGTCATTGTTTGAGCTGGGAGTTAAGGCAAGTTTTATTGGCTTTTATGCTGATACATTAGGATGGGGATGATTAGTAGGAGGATGAGTTAGTGAAGGAACTCAGTGACTGGCTGATCCAATTTCTTATCTCTCAATCC